CAACACACAGCCCTCTTATTTTTTAAGCAATGCTATCGATGGAACAGGCAGGGTGTTCCATTATACACTTCAAATACAACCATATCTGCAACCAAATACAGGGGAAAGAATCCCAAAACCGAAAAATTAAAAAAAACGAAAACTGCCCCCAAAAAAAAAAAAACAAAAACAAAAAAACTGAAAATTAAAAAACCGCCGCAAACAAAACAAGGCAACCAACTCAAAGGAACGAAAAAAAGGTAAAAAAAAATAACAAAAAAAAAACGCAAAAAACAAGGGGGTAAAAATAAAAACTAAACAGTTCAGATAAAGTGAGGTACTGCCACAGAATGAATACCATGAGAGAATACTGCACACTCCTATATATACAGTATGTTGTACTCTAGGCAACTTACATTTTCCTTTTTCTCATGAAAATACCAAGGACAATTTCCTGCAGTGAGACAGAGCTTAGTGCTAGGAGTCTGTACTTTCAGCCTCTAGAGATGAAAAGTCTTACAAGACTCCTCAAATCTGCAGGCATCTTTCTTCATGTCAAGACTTTCTACAATGCCATTCATAAAATGCTACAGACCACAGAATCTGTCAAAGAGCAGTGGAGCCCTGACAACGATTACTGTGCTCGCTTGGAAGCGCAAAGTTCAGTGACACCAAACTGCAAGCTTAGCAAATGATTAAACAGGTTTAAAAAGTTTAGTCAAATTTTCTTCATTAAAGCGCATCTAAAACATCATATTTGCAGCCCTAATGCCCAAGGCTTAGTTATTCTCTTCCACAGCCAGGCATGGCATTTCTTAACTAAATCCAGCTTTAACAATATCAGTGCACCTCCTCACCAAGTTTCTGAAGCCATTAACTGCTTGTGATAAAAATGCTCAAGCTAAACAAGCTAAATACCTTCATAACCTGGAAGATCCTATAACCAAGACACCGCACAGCATTTTCAGGGTGTTTTCCAGAAAACAGTTGCACAGCAGAAGAGACGGCAAAGAAAAGTGAATTTCCAGCCAGTAGGTTTGGGAGGGAGGGAAGCAGAAGACACCTATATAGCAGACTCATAGTGTTTTAAATACCCGCCATCACATGCAAGGTAAGATTGAGCCCATCTCTAATGCCACCAAATGAGTTTTTTTTGTGCAGCTGAAGAGGTAAACATGCAGAAACAAAAACCACCAGTTTCCTGGCTTAATTGGTAGTGGACAGCCAACACACAGGAGCCTGCAGGCCCGGACTGCAGGGGCAGCCTCCTGCCATGACTCACACGGCCAGGACTGGCCCCTGCCTGGCCTGCGCACATCCCTGCCTGGCAGCAGAACGCGTCAGGCAGCCCCAGAGCCGTGACAAAGGAAAGCGGATAATACCCTCCCAATGCAAGAAACCCACGGGTGTACGTACAAACACTAAAAGACCGCAACTTCCTGAAAAATCGTCTGCCTTCGTTAACATAAGGCGGGCGCGACGCGTCGGATAACGTCCGAAACGAGCCCTTAAGCCCGGTCTCCCGCGGGGCTTTGTTCCTGGGATTTTCTGTGCTCCGTAACTGGAAAACTGCTAATTCCAACCAAGATCAAACATGTAAACTGAAAGTTTTAATCAAGCATCTTTCAGAATGAACTGATCCCATCTAGAAATTTTCATGAAAGTTGTTTTACTTCAAAACCCTTTGGGTGGTATGTGTTCTAAATTTGTTTGAATCCATTGTTAATTTAAATAACCCCAGCTCGTTTTTTGTCAGTCACTGGTGTGTTTCCCTCCTTCGTAGGCCCTAGGCACCGTGCCTGCAGGGCCCAATGGGAAATCCGGCACTGGCCGAGCCTGGGACACACCGGTGGGGTGAAAACAAAGCAAGTCACTACAGCGACTGCAGCCCTCTGAACGTGAGCAGCAAGGGGCAAGGGGATGAAACTAGTGCTGAAACAACACATCCTTCCAAAGACGCATGTGGGCGAGTGGAATTCTGCCGGACTCGGTGGCCCTCAAGAGCCCCCCTTAAGGCAAGCACAGGCTGTGCGGCTCCTAGCGGGGGGGGGCAAACCCCCCTGCCCCGCCCCTCCCCGAGCTGGAGCCGGTGGGAATGAAGGGAAGGCGAGGCTGCGGCTGCCCCTCCCCGGCGCTCGCCCGCCCTACGGGAGAGCTCCCGCGACTCCCGCGAGGCCAGCGGGGACAGCACAGCGGACCGGGCTTCCTCCCCAGCCGCCTCCCTCAACTGGCGTCTCCCGCGCGCCGCGGCCGCGACCCGGTCGGGCTCCCTGGCCTGTTTCCGCAGCCTCCTCTTTCCATTAATCCTGCGAGATGTTCAAACACGCGCTGCAGATATTTTTCACGTGCAAATGACCCTTTTCCCCCCACTTAAATTATTCTACCATCATTAGTCCAACCATTTCTTTTTTTATTTCATATCAGAAAGAAGCTATTGTTTAACAAAGACGGGGTGTGGGGGGGGTGGCTTAGTGGCGCAGTGGTCAACATTGCTGCCTTGCAGTGCTGATGTCCTGGGATCAATCCTGGAATCCTGGGGTGCTGTCTGCGTGGAGTCTGCACGTTCATCCCTATGGCTTTCCTCCAGGTGTTCAAAGATTCCTCCCACAGTCCAAAGACATGTCGGCAAGTTAATTTGTTTCTGGGAAAACGGGCCCTGACGTGACATGGCTCTCCGCTGGACTGGCGCCCCACCCAGGGTGAACCCTGCTTTGCTCCTGTCCCTTGCTGGGATAGACTCTGGCTGCCCTGTTACCTTGAACTGGAAGACCCACTTAGAAAATGGAAGGATGGACATGAACAGGCTAACCTGTATCATGAAAAAACAATACTTTAAGCGCTTCTCATCTTTATTTCTAATATTTGCATGCAGTGAGGAAGTGCCATTCTTTAACAAACTCATCTGTACTGTACTCCCATTTCTTCCTCCTTCTAATAAAATAGACTTTAATCCATCCATTTGGGAGATGCCAATAAAGACATGTCTTTGAAAGGGCTGACAGCTGAAATGAGCACACATAGAAACCTTTCACCCTGGGGAGAGCATGCAAACTCCACACAGAACATGCTCCAGGTCAGGATCAAACCCAGGACCCCAGAGCTCTGAAGGAACTGCCACACCCCTCACTGGCCTTAACCAATCAATAGCCGCCACATCATTCCTCACATAGGTTTGCATTGTGCTGGAAAAGGTTTTTTTTTAAGTTACTGCTTTTTTTCTTATTTTTTTCTCCTTTCCACACATGTATGATGCAGAAATATCCCGGTTTTATAACTGGGCGGGACTTCCCCCAGCAGATTTACCGATTATGCCATAGAAGGGTCGAGACGATCAACCCACTCGAGGTCTAGTGGCAGAAAATAGCTGACCGCCCTCTTTTTCCCATTTTGAAAAGCAAATGGACATCAGCTGCCAGACCCCTCCTCCATCTCCCTGTTTTCTTCTCCTCCTCCCCCCCCCCTCTCCCCATCGGGTCTCTTCCCTCCTTCTCTGCGCAGTGACTTGAAAACAAAAAGCCTTTTCAAGCTGGGGCACCTCAGTGCCGCCCCACCACCACCACAAAGCTGTTCCTCTGGCCCCTTCCATGGAGCCGTAATTAATGAATCAGCTGACAAGGCAGGGCGGGTCAGGGGTCAGCTGGTTCCTGGCAGCTGTGACAGAAGAACCGACTCCACTTTTGTGGGGTTTTTTTGAGGGGAAAAAGTCCGCCGGGTCACGCTGGCTGTCGGACTGTAATCCTCTCGTGCACGCTCCCCTTCCCCCGGGCGGCCGGGCGGCGCGCACTCGCTTCAGAGCTCCCGGCTCTGTTGATGCACGGCTCCCGAGGGATTCAGAGGCGCAGCGCGGAAGATCCGAGGCCGACACCCCCCAGAAAGCCCACCCGGGCCCGCCGGGTCGCCCCTGAACTCTGCCACTTGTGGGCATTTTTTTTTTCCCCAATGGAAAAATCGGGGGTGAAAAAATCATTCACAGTCCAGACGCTTTTCCATTTGCCAGGACCCATGTGTGGGTCTGCCACTTGTAGAGAACCCCAGTCCCACACAGGACCCCCGATTATTCCAAAGGCTAAGCCCAGGCGCTGAGGCCCCCCCCTCCCCCACAGCTGAAGCTCTGTGCAGTGCCAATGAATAATGAAACGCCATGAAGTTTGTCCGTCACAGACCCCAGCTCTCCTGAGCTGGCGTCATCGGAGAGCTGCACTGTCTGCCCACCAGCACGCTCCGCTGAGAGTGGCTGAGCTAGCAGGGGATAGAAGCCTGGGATTTTAATGACCATCAATGAAAATGTTTGCAACAAAGCTCAAAACAGCCAATCATTCTGCCTCAGAGGTCTCCTATCCCAGTACAGACCAGAACCAGCCCTGTTGGGAGTTTTGAGATCAGGACACAAAGGTACTAATACCGCTGTCAAAAGTAATGCATTTTAAAGGGTCCTGTAATGGCAGACTAACCTAGCTTGTGATACAAAGGCATTTTCTTTACCGTCAAAATCAATACTGTACAGACCGACCCACCGTACCAACGTAAAGTGGCAAAAAGTTATAAAATTCCAAACATTATCCTCCTGTTATAGGCTTTCATTGTGCAAGTAGAAATTTCCACAACACTCGCTTTCAGAGACAGTCCGTGAGACACAGTTTCCAAATACTGAACAGACATGCATACGATTGTTAGGCAGGCTTTAGTGATGGGCAGAACACTGTCTATTGGTGCAAAACTCTGAGACATGCAAAATCACCATTATAACACAGGTGGGAGATACAAAGACACACCTGAGGTATCTGTTTATTCCTTCTGATGAATCGCATTACAAAAAGGCACCGAGCCATAATGAAATGCCTGCGCTGACATTTTGTACTTCAAACAGTTTTTGAAAGCAAAGACTAGTCAGAAACTAAATTCAGACCAATAGGTCTGGAGGGTTAAAAAAAAAAAGGATTAAAAGTTTTAAAAAGTTGTGCTACATTGGAAAAATGGTTTTAAAAAAACTCTTCACACGTAAATGGAGTTTAATCCATTACAAAGAGATGACACAGCAGTTTGAGACTGATTCAGGCCCTTGGAGTCTTCATGTCTTTAAGCATTGCTTTAGTCAGACGTTATAGCTGGTATGTCTGAAGAATGACAGAGGTAGATGGGCAAAGCTCAATAGCAACCTGGGGCTTATCTGAGCAGCACAGGTAGCAATACGGACAAAGCTCTATGATTCTTAGACATACTTCAAACATCCAGATAATCACGTTTAATTTGTTCTGTTACTGCGACAGCTCGCCCAGCCCTGGGTTAAACACAACCCTGCCGGAGCTGGATTCCAATCCAAAAGGGAACTGAAACTCGAATGAAGTAAAGAGGTTAACTTATATTATGCAAAAGTATTTCATGTTTCTCCCATTCCCACAGCACGCAAGCAACACGCTTGCCGGGTGAGGACAGGTTTTGCAGAACAGAGTTGCAAATTCCGATCAACTTAAGTTACCGAAATCAGTCAGACAAAAAAATACCAACTGCACCAAAAGCAACAATGAAGTTCACTTATCTACCAAATGGTCTGTGAATTCAGATAAGGGAAGAGTTCAGGATAGTGTTACTCCTCAAGAGGTTTGAGCAGGCCAAAAGCACATTATGACTAATGGCACTGATGTCTACCTGAGAATAACAAGGAAGTGAAGAGGCTAACTAAAATATTAAATTTATAGGCCCAAACTGTGCCTTGTTTTTAAGCAAAATACACTTTTTTGGTACAACAGTGAATGCAATGCTGACAGTGGTTAGCAACTAACTGGCTTAAAAAATTTCCATTCCAGTATACCAGTAAAATGCAGTTGTACACATGCATGCCAGAGGCTGCTCAAGAATGGCTTGTACACAATCTCTGCCCATTGAAGCTCAAATGAGCAGACAGACAAACAATGGTGCTCATCCAGCCTGACGAGGACAGCAGGGTTGAACTCTCTGGCAGGGGAACATACAGTATGTTCTCTGCACTGCCAGCAATGGCACACATTCACCACGCCAGCTGCCGGACCCAACGAGAGGTCACTCCTCTGTCAATTCATGAGTCCACTGGACTCCCGTTGACCGCTGTTCACTTCTGCTGCTGGATTTTAAGGGCAATATACATCTGCTAGGCCTAATCAGCTTTTTGTTGTTTTTTGTTTTTAAGAGTGCAGGCTGAATGGGAGGAGGTGAAAAGAAAATCTTTAAGATCTGATGTTTAAACGGGAAAACTTGTTTTTTGTTTACTGCAGTTCTCTTATCTTTTCGGCCACTGCAGTGATTAAACAAGCGCTGTCTCCTAAAAAATGCCCCCCCCGCCCATCCCAAAAGAATGCCATTTCGCAAGAGAATTTCATTCTTCTAGACTGAATTAAAATGCTGCCGGGAAATTTAGTTTTCTTTTCGACATTTTCTGCAGCGAGTGGCAACAGCACCCAGAGAGGCTGACTGGCTGGCACAGATCCAAGGAAGAGGATTTCATTTCCTGAAAACTACAGCCTTAAGCTAGAAGACGCCTTAGGGTTGGTTACAGCTCATTGAGAATGTGCAGCGAGGAACAATTCTACTGGTTTCAGCCTTGAAAAAGGTAAGACAATGCAATAACAAAAACAAACCTAACATCTCGGCAGCAGGAAGTACACAGGCTGTTGCTTGTTCCTATCACAATTCGGGCGTTCTGAAAAACACATCTTTACTAACATCAGCAAGCAAAAAGGAGCCTTCTCCCCAACACCGCAGCACTAAACCATGACACTTAAAAAAAAAAACAGGGATACTTTTTGGCTAATCGCCAACCCCCTCCCACACACACCAAACATGTCCCTCTTCAAATCGCATGACAGCCAGGACTGCTGCTGCACTCCAGCAGTGACCAGGACAGGTTTTTAATATTTGTACACAGTCACAATGACAAACTCCGACACGCTGAGATTGAATTATTCCACAGTGTGAAGGGCCAAGCAGTGGTGCCTGAGTGCCAGTAGATGGACAGAAAACGTGTCCCATTGCTGCAGAGATGCACTGCTCTTCCTAAGACGCATTAGCTCAAGAGAGGACAACCTTGGCTCCCCAACACAACAGCACTCCGTTTCATTCTTAATCCTTGTTGAAACAATCAAGGGGCAATTAAGCAAGGATCTGATGTCAGGCAATGGAATGAACTGGAAAGGGCCAAGTCACCCACCAGCCTGCCTCTAGTCCATCCAAAGCCATCTGTACCCAAACCCAGCAGCGAATCGCCCAGTCAGAGCCAAGTAAGGTTCAACGATGCTTACCCCTTGGTTTCCAGTAAATCGGATTGTTGGCTGTGCAGACAGCAGGGTCTGGAAAAGGAAAAAGAAAAAGACAGTTTAATGGTGGTAGCAATGCCGCCAGTGACACAGAGCAAGGAGTGAGGCAGGAAGGATCTGATTCATGACAAGATGGACTCAATTGCTAGGCAACCACCAGCTGAGGGCAAGAGGAAACCATCGGGAATGAGCCCTGTCCCGCAGTCCCTGTTACAGAGCGTTCACCACAAATCCAGGGCACACGACTGTGTTGAGATCAGAGGGCATCATTACCTGCTCAGAAGAACTTTCCAACCTTATTCTAAAGCAGGCCTTTGGAACGACTCCATCATACTCGCAAGTGGAAATGACCAGCTAATTAAATGGTGGTGGGACCCTGAGCCCTGAGACAAAGTCGAATCCCCATTCTGCCCCTTTCAGCCTCCTCTGCCCCAGACTGGCTGAAAAGCCAAGGGAGAAGCAACCAAAATGCACCGCACTACACTTTCCCTAAAAACAAAGTCACCAACACACTGTAAAGCCATTGGCAATGGCCAACACTGGACCCCTGTGACCCATAACCCAGCAAGGGTTACATAACTTGCTCCTGATCTAAAATAATTCCATGACCACTAAAGCAGGTGAGTAGTTCAGTTGGGCAGCTTAGGGATCGCTCAAAATGAAAACACCAGCACCTCTGTGGCCCTCAAAGACAACCTCACATGTACCCAGTCTTGCACATTGATGATTTAAGGGGGACCCGCAAACTCTCCAGAACCAGGGTAGCCACCACTGAGCCTGAGGTTTTACTGCTCTCACTAGTCTAGGGGTCTCATATTCTGCTCCTGGGGGGTCTTCTCATGTCTAGCTGTTGACTCAACATGAACAGTGAATTAAACAACCCGATTATCTTCTAAATTAGACAGATGGGATTTTCTTAAAGTCCTCGACCACTGATTACACAAGACACTCGCTTGAATAACAGTGCGCACAAATCACCTCGAAGCCCGAAGAGATGCGTTACTATTCTGCAGCTAATACAGCAATTATGTAACTGGAAACGTACTTGGAACAACACACTAGGCTCTCCGAGGAACTGAGACCTCTGCACTAGGCACTGAAACAACAGTCCTCAGGGTCTTCCACTTCAAGACGCTTCTAATTGGTCCCATCAGTTACACAATGTGGGTTTCTTAATCCAAGTGTGTGACCCAAGAATGCTTTACCCTGGGAGTACCCTAGAAGCCTCTTTAATATAATTTAGCCCATTCACATCGCCATGATTTTAGACTGGTGTAGCCCGACTACTGCACCAGAGGAGGTAAGATCAGGGCAGAAGACACCCTCAGTGAGACTGGATCGATTTAGACTACATGACAGTGGGCTCACAGGAACCCCACAGGCTAAATTCATTAAATTAAATCCCTCGCATTTCAGCAAACTCCTAGCTCATACAGTTCCTAGGAAGAACTTGCATTCTTTTTGGGGATGGTGAGAAGGTATGTTTAAGGAAAACGGAACAAGAACAGGTTAGCTCTGGAACTGCTAGAAACTCCAGGGGATATTAAAAAAACAAAACAAGAATGTGCTGGGTGCTAATGAGTGTTATTCAAAGGATTCCATTTATTTTGGCTCAGGGTAACTACCTGAGATTTTCTTCACGGAAAACTTTCTAGCAATGTTAAACGTGGCGCTATAATTCCGATTCCCGAGTTATGCTTTGCCAACCATTGGCTTTTTTAGTTAAAAAGGCTTCTACTTTGCATATCCTTCCCACGTTTCAAACACGCAGTTGGTGAAGGACACTGGCCATTTATCTTTAGAGAACCGCTATGCTTATTTGCGTTTTAATATTCCAGCAGCTCCGAGACAGCCTTGGTTTAAACACGCTGGCGGCGCCCCACCGCTGCCCCCCCTTCCCCACACGCCGCAGGTGATAGCTAAGGACTTGGATCACAAGCGGCCAAGCGCCGGCTCAGACACAGGCGGGGGGAGATAATAGCTCCTGCCTCGCACTAAATAAAAGCCCTTATAAATGTCATCGGAGACGTAGAGGACCTTGCTCCCAGAACTCAATTACTTTTATGCACATACACATTCCCAATCGGGCCCGGCGTTTACCCTGGCCCCGCTCCAGCGCTAACGTAACTGCCAGGCTATGCTCCGGCTGTTGTTTGGGAAGCACAGCACACGGATCAGATGCACAAGTCATTACATAATCCTCAGCCCGAGCAGAGCTGCGGTGAGCCACGCAGAGAGGCCAAGGCGGAGGATTGTTAAACTGCCCCCCGGGTCCCCTACCTGCTCCATCCCTCCTCGGCCTCTCTCTTTCTCTGCAGATCGGGAGAAACAAAACCGGCAGCCGTGCATAGAAGATGCTTTACAAAAAAATATTTAAAAAAAAGCAAAGCTGATGCGGCTGGGCTAAACCTCTCCCTTTTGCCATCGCCGACATTCTCAAACAGGGAATGTTGCTCTTACATGTTGGTTTTACATGTTTACATCCACAACAAACAGAGACCGAGACAGAGAGAAAGAAGACCAACAGGGATATCTTCCCAGGGCACACGCTGATCCATGGGTATGTGCGGGGGGGATTTACACTGTTGGGAGACTGCATGTCAACAGCCAGTGGGCAACGTGTTGACCTGCAGGGCCCCCGAGATGGGAGCCGGCTTGCGGGCCCTTCAGAACCAGAAGGGTGTCGGTCAAGTCTGGAGGCTGGTGTGCCGCTTTGACAGTGAAACGTCAAGCGCCAGCGGGCCAGGGAGCCCCTGACGAACAGACCCAAGAGAGGGACAGAGGTGCGAGCTTGCTTGCGTGCGTGCGTGACGCATTTCAACCTCGCCCTAGCTTCCCTCACCCTTCAAAGCGTAAAAATGAAATTAGAAATCACAGAAGTGACGGATGTCAGTGATAAAAGGAGTGGACCCCTGAGAAATACGTTCAAGTGTCCCACACTGAAATGGCTCCATACTGGGCTCACTAGGGCCGTCCATAAATACTAACTGAAACCATTACTCTTAAAATGCAACCTTCGCTAACTTGACCTAGCGACCCACACATTTAAGTCTTGAGCGTGCTACCGTTTTCACAAACCCTACGGCACGGCTCAGTCCGACACAATCCACACTTCCACCCTGCTGCTGTCCCTCAGAAACCCGTTTCAACTCAAAACATTGACATCGCTACCGTACACAGACATCAGGAAGCTTTCCTAAGCCTAACTGCACAATTCCATTTTAAGGCGTCTGGCATCACAGGAATCCTATCGGTTTTCTTTGGGTACCGTAATGGGAAGATAATCTGCTTTGAGCACAGTTTTACTATATTCTACCCATGATGCCTGCTCCCAAGCACCCGCCCCCCCACCTTAAACAAGTGAAAGTTAAGCATTTTCAAAAGACATCCAGAAAAATAAAGGCTTTCCTTCAAGGTCATCTGGGTGCAGTCAAGGCATACTTAGGGAACCTTCAACCCTATCCCCAGCATCTTAATGTTAATCTGGACACCCTCAATTTAACACGTTAATACTTTGGATTACTTTGGTAGCAGATCCCATGCTGGCTATGAGGGTGTCACTGTTGCTCCCTTCAGCTAGAAATCCTGATTATTCATCCCTGAAGAGCCAATGAGCTCAGCAGGTCGGCCCTGCTGAAAAGCACTGCTGGTGTCCCATCGCGATGCAGAAGCTTCTCGTCATGACAGGAGTCCTATATAGACAGGGAGAACAATGCCTGGTGCACTGATACAGCGGCAGAGAACTGCTAATGTGACAATATGCAGAGCACCCCCATAAAGAAGGGGCTTTACATTTAAATGGCTCCTGGATCTCTGTATACTTTCTGCACAGTTGATACGCAGAAGACTCCAGTGAGGAATGGGGTTAAAGGACCACTGAGAAAATGCAACAACGAAATAAGACACTGCAGAACAAAAATGTAAAGCCACATTGATCTGGTCATAAGTTCTGTTTTATAGATCAGCAATATTGTATACCACTCGGTTGCTAAAAAAAATGCAGGCTGTAATCTTTACTTGATGATATAAGCTCCTATTACTATGCAGGAAACAAAAACTAGATGAACTCTGAATTGCTATATAAAAATCAATTACCCTACTGTCTTGCTTTCTGTAGTGATTGACAATCCTCAGTACACTTCAAAAAAGGTCTCTGAACAGCAAATCAGTTTAAGGGGCTTTAAAAAAACATTAAAAAGAAACTACTGCAAATCCCTGCACAGTGTTGGAGATAACAGGTACATCTCAGCATTAAGTCCAACTTGCCCAGTTCTAGGGGGATGTAAAAGTTTTGATCCCAGCTGCTGAACTTCTGTCCCACCATGCGAGATGGGGCATCACCATTTACACTCCCCTCCCTCCAAGCACAGACCAGAGCGCAGCCCTCAGCCCGTTCGCTTGAAAGGGCTGCTGACGTGCCATTATTCTCCGGGACTGCAGCCCAGAAACTTCCACAGAGCCAACCTGAGGACAGGCCACCGCTCGGCCGTGGAAAATCACAGGAGTGCCTAAACCGCGTGGGCTCGTGGAGTCTGGGTCAGCAGTGCAGCAGGGCTACCAACCTGATGCCCCCGTGAGAAAAAAAAAATATTGTCCCCCCCACCACCACCATAAAATAAGCTAAAAAATAAAAAAAAATCACCCAGAAAACAGCTTTCTTACACTGTGATCAGAAAATTAAAGCACATGATGAGCAGTGGGGCTTCGGCTATGAATCAGTGTTATGCATGAAGCTTTCTCAGCTAGTTTTGAAAGGGATTGAATGAATACATCTGCAATAAAACAGTAAACAGGGGTGTATAAGGACGGGTTAAATGTTCCACCAGATTTCACTTGAATATGACCTTTCGAGAACTTGTCACGATGCACTTTCAGTACAAGTTCGGAGGGGAAAAGATAGATATCTTTAATGAATGTTTAACTGCCAGTTTCCTGAGGTTTTGATCTTTTTTTTTTTAAAGAGAAGAACTCAGGTCATTTCTATCAACACCACCAAAGTTTAGGTAACTCATTAGGCATTTAAAATATTTCAT